TTTTTTTTTTTTTTTTTTCGATCGTTACTTACTTTTTCCAACGGAAACAATGCATTACAATTTGAGGGTGAAAACAGTTTAGAATAAGAAAATTAGTCAAAGTATTTGAATGTATTTTGTTTCAAATACTTTGCAATGGAATTTAAGATTTAAAACTTATTTGCTGAAAAAAATTTTTCAGTATGGTACTGTAAAATAATGGACTTAATTTTTGAAAAAAAAATTATTTTCTTTCCAAGTGTTTATAAATCCACAAAATAATTGCACCCAAGCCTGTAAAATGTATACTCTTTGTTTTTCGATCATGCATTTTTGTAATATTAAATCATGTATTGTATAATGTTAATGCGTAATTATAATTATGTAAATTAAGAATAAAAAATTTGTTTTTGACAAATAAAATTATATTTCAATAGAAAAAAAAAAAAAAAAATCATATATTCGGAATATTTTTTGAAAAATAAAAACCTTACACAGATGATTCTTTGTTTTTTTTTGTTGATTTATTGTCAATAGAATTTCATGCTGCGACATTGTCTCAAAACTACGGAAAAAGATAGTATGAGTGAAAAATATAGAGTTGGAAATTTTTTTATTTAAAAAGCCGATTTTGAAGCAGCCAAATTAAAACAAAAACTATATTGTGATATGTGGAACATTACAAAGGCATAAGTAGGCAAAACACTTCTTTTTTTTTCACATCCGACACATTGATTCACACGCTACATTATGTACCAGATCATACGACATTAAGGTAAACGTTTAAGGTAAAGATAGCAGTACTTTTCCGGTAACTATCTTTTTTTTTTTTATATATATATATCTGCCATTTTCCACATTTCGTTTTTCCTAATTCTCACGTTGCGTATATTTAGTCAGAATCATTTTTTTTTTTTTTATTGGAAAGGTTATTGATCTCGATGATGCGGTGACCAACGCGCACACCACCTCGCTCGGCAATTGTATAACGTATCAAAATTTGCATTAATTCAATCAGCGTCCATGACTAGTTAGTTAAATAAAATTTATTGATGCGTCGACTGTGTAACATGATAAAATTAATTAAAAATATACTTTACCAAATCAAGTAAAATACCCGGTGTACGAATTTTCTTTGTAAAAAAACAATACGTTTTGTTTTTTGTGAGATAAAAATCAGTCGCGTGGAGGTATAATATAACTTTTGCTAATATAATATGGCCATCACGAGAATTCTGCATTGCACGTCTTTTGAATTTCAAGCTTTCATTCATTCATATTATTAATAATAATAACCCCTATTTGTTTAAATCTTAGCGATTAATGACTAGATAAGACTTTTTTTCCCGTTTCTTCATCTTTAACGTCAAATCATTTTTTTCCTTAACTATATGTCCAGATCTCGATTGATCCCACTAAACACACACTGTTTTACATTTACAACTAAATGCGCGAATCACGAATGACAATCCTGTCCATGCCAAAGTTCATGGACCATCCGCTGTCTTTTAAACTAAATATCTATTCGCTATTACGAATTATTATGCTTTTAATAAATTATTAGTGACTGTCATCGGTGAGAATGAACCTTGGCATCGATGTATTATGTTTCGTGACCTACGAGCTCCTGCCGTCATTCACACTCTCATGCTTGACTTTTTTTTTTTTTTT